TTTCAATACACTGATTCGATACAATGAAGCCGAGAAACTTACCGGAGCTAACTCCGAAGGCACATTTCTCCAGGTTAAGCTTCATGTTGTACTTTCTCAAGATTTTGAATGTTTCCTGCAAATGAGTTAAATGGTCCTATACGCGCAGGGACTTAATCAACATATCGTCAGTGTAAACTTCCATTAATTTACCTATCTGTTCCTCGAACATCTTGTTAACTAGGCATTGGTATGTAGCTCTAGCATTTATTAGCCAGAAGGGCATTACATTGTACCAATACATCCCAAACTTAGTGATAAACGAGGTCTTAGCATCTCGTGGCCGGTCGTGGCATTCATACGATCGATGTTGGGCAATGGAAAAGAGTATTGTGGGCATGCTTTGTTTAAATCCTTGTAATCTACGCACATTCTAAGTTTGTTTCCTTTTTTTTAAGAACTAAAACTACGTTGGCTAACCATTCAGGGTATTTCACCTCCCGAATAGACCCTATTTTAAGAAGTTTGGTTACCTTGTCCTTTATGAATGCATGCTTCACCTCGGACTGGGGCCTCCTTTTTTGCTTTACCGGCTTGAACCTGGAGTCAAGGCTTAGCCGGTGTGTTGTTATTTCCGGTGGAATCCCTGTCATATCCAAATGGGACCAAGCAAAGCAATCCATATTATCAATAAGAAATTGAATGAGTTTCTTCCTGAGTTGGGGGGTTAATCCTGTTCCCAGGTATACCTTTCTCTCGGGCATGTATTAGATCAGTATGACCTACTCCAGTTCCTCGACCGTTGACTTGGTTGCATCGGACTCTTCTGGAACGACGGAAGTTCGAGGAGTAAGGAAATCCTCTTCTTCTTCTTCTTCTTCTTTTTCTTCTTCTATTACCTGTTGCTCCGATTCTGTCGAGGCTGGTGGCGGTGATTACTATTTAGCCGTCTGCTTATCTTTGGTGCTTGACTTTTCCGAAGTCGAAGGTGCTGGTGCCAGTATCACCTCTTCGACTGCAAACATCTCTTTGGCAGCATGTTGTTCTCCGTAAATTGTTTTCACACCATCCTCCTTGGGAATTTTATTATCTGATGGAGGGTTGAAGGCACGGCCCTCATGTTGTGGATCCATGGCCTTCCAAGGAGTGCATTATACCTCATGTCGCCTTTGATGACATGGGATTTGGTATCTTGGATGGTCCCGATTACGGTCATTGGTAGGATTATCTCCCCCTTCGTTGTTTTGCTTGCCATGTTGAAGCCATTTAGGACCCGGGATGCAGGTACAATCTGATCCAGTAGGCCGAGCTGTTCTACGACCCTCGAGCTGATTATGTTTTCTGAGCTACCTGGATCCACTAGAACACGTTTAACTTGAAATTTGTTTAACAAACTAGAAATTACCAGTGCGTCATTGTGCGGCTGAGATATACCTTCCGCTTCCTCGTAATAGAATCATAGGACGTCCTCGGGCACATAGCTCCGAGTTCGTTTCTCTTTGGTGATCGACACCTTGGTGCGTTTGAATATCGGTCCTTGTGGGAACTCGACACTGCCAACGATCATATGGGTTACATGTTGTGGTTCTTTTTGCTCATTTTTTCTGCTTACATCTCTCTCCCTGAAGTGGTTTTTAGCTCGATCACTGAGAAACTCTCGAAGGTGACCCTCATTGAACAACCAAGCTACCTCTTCCCTTAGCTGCCTGCAGTTTTCGGTTCTATGGCCATGTGTGCCATGATACATACACATCAAGTTTGGATTCCTTTGAGAAGGATCGGTTTGTATATGCCTGGGCCACCTGGTGTCTTTTATTCTTCCAATAACTGACATGATCCCCGATGCATCTACACTGAAATTATACTCCGACAATCGAGGTGCCTCCGTGGGGTCGGTATGTTTATCGAACCTATTCTTACTCATGAGTCCCCGAGAGCTTTGACCTTGATCATTTCTCCGGACATTTCCAGGAGCGTTACGAACCGAGCTGTTGTTTCTCCGATCAACATACGACTAATATCGTTCCTTGTTCGATCATGATTTCCTATCCGTATCCCTTAGGGGCTTGGCTGCCAATCTATTGGATGAACTGAACCCGAGGGGGCTCCTAACTAGTCGTCCTCGACCCTGATCTTCGATTGATAACGATTATGTACGTCTGACCACGTTACAGTTGGATACTCGATCAGATTCAGCTTTAAATGTCGAGACATGATCGAACTCCACTCATTTCAAACCCTGCATAAAAGCCTGTACTGCCCAGTCATCCGAGACCAGTGGTAATTCCATTCTCTCGATTTGAAACCGGGACACGAATTCCCTTAACATCTCATCGTTCCTCTATTTTATCTTAAAAACGTCTGATTTCCTCGTTGTCGCCTTTATGGCCCCGACATGTGCTTTCACAAAGGCGTCTGCTAACATAGCAAACAAATCGATGGAGTTCGAGGGCATGTTGTGGTACCAAATCATGGCCCCTTTTGACAAGATTTCCCTAAATTGTTTCAACAATACTGACTCGATCTCATCATCATTCAGGTCGTTTCCTTTAATCCGCAAGTATATGAGGTAATATGCTCATTAGGGTCGGTTCTCCCGTTATATTAGGGTATATCGGGCATGCGAAACTTTTTAGAAATGGGCATCAGAGCCGCGCTCTGAGGGAATACTTTTTGGCATCTAAACCTTTCAAGACTGGGGGTGCCCCCGGTATTTGATCAACACAGGAGCTATAAGTATCCACCTTTTTGTCATTGTCCTCAATCTTCTTTTCCTCAAACTCGATACTCTTGGTGAGTTCTTCGAGCATCCTCATAATTGTGGGGTTAGTCCCCGAGCCATTTTCGTTTGACCTCTCCGGCGCCGGTTCAGCACGTCGAGTGTTTTCTGGTTCGGCTATACTCGGAGTATTATTCTAACTTTGAAGTTGAGCGATGGCAATCTGTTGAGCTTGCAGCATCTCGAATATCACTTGGAGGCTGACTCCCCATCTCCTATACCCTGTGTTCCTTGGCCCCCAGATCGGGCTTCCCCTTCGTATACTTCCTCCGGAGTCTGCGCCTAAATCTGCATTCAAAGCAATGTGTGAACTGACATCAACTAGTTCCACATTTGGCACATCCCCGGGGTTTATCGGTGGTACACCGACCCTACATTGTTGTTTTTTCCATGAAATCCTAGACCTTCGTTGTCGTGAACGTGTGCGTTTTGCGAGTTTGACATGTTTAATCCTAAGAACAAAAATTCTTGACAAGAATAAGTGTAAAAGTAATGTGTGTTATCAGAATCAGTACTGAAATAATCACTATTATATTTAGCCCCTCGGTGGGTGCCAAACTGTTTACCTCGAAAATACGAGTAACAATTAAATTTGATTTGTTGTTTTAAAGATATGTGATTTAGTTAAATACTAATTAATAATCAAGAAGTATAACGTATAAATGAATGAAATGAGTAAATCAAACTAGTGTTGCTAGGCAGTATCGACCTCGAGCCAAAGTGACCTCGAGACAGATTAAGAACAATAAAGTAAGAATAATAAAGCTAAAGGACAATTCTGATGAACAATGAGCGAGAAGAGTAAGAGAGTATATTCTTTGCCAATGAATGAACGTGTTAACAAATGATTGGGGTCGCCTTTATATAATAGGGGAACCTAAATAAGGTACATTTGTATTTACAGTAAAGAATCTTATCGGGACAGCTGGCTTACCGCCCAGTACAGATTCGTACAAATCTATTCCGGGATTTACGCCATGATCTTGGGGACGTGGCAGGACTCTAGCTCATTCTGTTACAAATCCAAAACGACATTATCTCGGGGTTGAACATACTCGGCTTCGATATTCATTGCGAACTTTGATCCTCGGGCTTTGTACTCTGTCGTCGAACTCGAGCTTGGTCTATCGAATTCGACCTCGATCCATTCTGAACTCGGACCTAAAGCGACACTTCGAGCCCGAGAAATCGGGCATATATGATTTTAACCGTATACACGGGTAACAATTTAATAATGTGGGACATAACGTTTGAAGCCAAAATATATAAAATGCAAAAGATAACCATTGTAGCTAATATAGAACTATCGACCCATGATCCCGACCCGCCTTACACAGAAAAAGATTATGGTAGAGTGATAAATACTCATTCATACTGAACCAAAAGTCTCTGGTTCGAGAATTGAGTATGACGCATATGATGGGGAGCGCTTTATCCTCCCCTACCCCCCCCCTCCCCCCTCAAATTGAATTATTCAATCCCAAAGGAGTACCAGATATGGATGGGAAACCAAGAAAATTATAAACTTCTTTTCTTTTTGTTGGTAAAGGGACTAAAAGGAGTTCCTCTGCCAACTGCATATTAAAATATTATTACAAAACCGTCTCCTTCTAAAAATTAAAAAATTTATGTCTCTAGAAATGAGCTCTCCTCTCAGTAGTAGCTGACCATGGCAAGGAAGGCAAAATCTGGAGGAGGAGGAGGAGGGAGTATTGCACAGCATAATATCATCGGAAGAGAACCAAAGTGAGTACCACAATCATCTGAAGTGAAGAAATTCAGAAATGTCAATGCAATACTGGGCATTGCCCATTTAGGTTTGACTCAAGCGATGGCCTCGACATAAATTTTGGTTGAGCAAACCCCCACAACAAAATCATGGGCAGATCTAATGGAAGAGGAAGGGAGTAAGGTTGAACAAATAGGTAAGCACAACCATGCAAATTCCCCGAAAGTAGGGGATAATTGGAGTCGAATTGTAGGTATTGGGAAGTGTAGTGAAGGCTATGACTTAACCACGATTGATGGGAAGAAATTACGAGGAAATGTAAAAATTATAATGGAGGATATCAAAGAGGACAAGTGTGTTAGAGATATGTTGTAATTTGCTACATTTTAGGTTCTAACGCACCCCAAACAGTAATTGGGGGGGGGGGGGTTATTTTAAGAGAGTATGGGTACGCTGGGGATCGACGAAATTGCTCAGGTGAATAGGGGAGTATACATAGTATGATTCCACTCGATGGAGAACAATGAGAAAGTGGTGGAAGAAGGAATCAAAATGTTTGATAAGAAGCCAATAGTTGTCAAACCATGGAGACCAGATATTGAACTTGACAAGCAAGTGGTTGACAAAATTCATGTGTGGATTAGGCTAATAAACCTAGATATCAAATACTGGGGTCAAAATGCTTTAACAAAAATAGAAGGAATAATTGGAAATCCATTGAAAGCGGATAGAGCAACAATTCAAAAGGAGAGACTGCAATTTGCAAGAATACTCGTAGAAGTAACACCAAACCAAATCTACCCGGATAAGGTAATGTTTGAGAATGAATGTGGAGTGATTATAGAACACGAGGTCAAATATGAATGGAAGTTAGTCTATTGTAAATCGTGTGACAACTTTGGACATGGCATCAAAGATTGCAGGATGAAATTAAGGCAAAGACATGAGAATACGACCTCAGATGCTAGCAGGGAACCAGATAACAGGATGAATAAAATGAACACCAATGTGGTGGAGGGATCAGGAGAGAAGCAACAAAGTAATGAGGTAGAAATTACTAATGCAACAAAAATGGGAGCAATAAGGAAAATCAGCCGGGGATACAAAATAAGCAGCGTGAGGAAGTTAATAACATAAAAGAGCTGGAAGCATGGAAAGAAGTACAAGGGAAAAAATCATGGAAGGGGATAGGAAGTAATCCAAATACATATGCTATAATGACACATATGACCAAGCTGAACACATATAGGAAAGAAGGAGAGGAGACAGACAAAGAAAAAAAGTAAAAAGTGGAAACACATGGTGATGGTAGCAAATCTGGGAAGGATGGGGCACCTAACCCCCACCTCCCCAATGGATAACATAGGCTTCTGGAATACCAGGGGTCTGAACTGGACAACCAAGCAGAAGGAAATGAATCTCTTTATGCAACAACAACATGTTGGGCTGTTTGGACTCTTGGAATCAAAGATTGAGAGACCTAAGGCAAATAAAGCTTCTCTTAATCTTTGTACATGGTGGTCTTATACTAATAACCATTTTAAGCATCAAACATGTAGGATATGGTTATTACGGAAGCCACAAACTTATACAATACAAGTGGGACTGGTAACAGAGTAATTACTACATAGTGAAATCACTCATATCAACATAGAGAAGGTGTTTAATATTGACTATGATGCATGGATTAAATGATTAAACACTGAGGGCTGAACTATGTAGGGACATAAGGAACATTACCGATGAAATAGTGGGATTATCGGCAATAATGGGTGACTTCAACTCTATGCCCAATCAGGAGAATAAAGTGCGACTCTTTTTGGGATCTCCAGGTGGCCAAAACCAGAATAGTCTTCCAACATACCAACGTCCACGCCTTCAAAAAATGAGTTGATGGCATCATCCACATCCGAGGACGTTTCGGTCGGCTTCTCTTTGATGGCCCGAGCTTTATTTAAAATGGCCTCCATACGAAGCATTGACTCTTGAATATGGATAATGGCATCGCCTTCAGAAACGGCCCTACTCGGGATCGAAGGGGCCTCTTGCGAAGCAGCAGCTACATGTTCTTCTCGGGCCCCTGGGCTTAGGAAGATTCATCCTTGCGAACATCCCCCTCAGGGACTACCAACTCTTGTTTAGCATCAATTGGCTCGTGGGTGACAAATTTCATGTCCTCGTTATCCTTGGGAAAATCCTTGAGCTGACGAAGAGCTTCAGGATCCGGGACCCGGGCATCCGAAGTCTTCCTAGTGCTCTTCCTGACCTTGAGCACGATTCCTTTTCTTTTCTTGACTTTGGCAGGAGCATCCAAGGCATCGGGGATCTCTTTTTCTTCTTCTTTTTTTCCTCCTTCTCTGTAGCAACTTCGGCTAGCCAACGATGAATTAGCCAAGCATTTATAGGTCGTGATGGCACCTAACGTCGCCACTAGGCACCAACGGTGAATTAGCCAAGTATTTATTCCTTTTAATAATGTTGAAATAGTTAATTTGCATTTATTACATAAATAGAAGTGGAAAAATATAATAAAGTAAGCTTAAGCTCATAAAAGAACCAGTATAGTGACATAAATACCCAAAAGCCATCAAATGTCTCTAGCATGTGCCAAGACCTGGTGCCATAAGTGTATGAGCATCTAGTATAATATACAAAACACCACGCTGCTGTGTGAATATGGTAGAAGGAAAATAAATACAAAAGAGAGAGACTGCGGTGCTGCAGAACGGACTCATAGAGCAGCTCACCACTATGCCTTAGGATAACGAGAGTACGCGCTGAGATAACTACCAGATGCACCTGCCTCAGATCCTGCATGACTAGTGCAAAAAAGTAGCGTGAGTACATAAACTATATGTAGCCAGTAAGTATCTAGGCTAACCTCGAAGAAGTAGTGACGAGGGGTCGACTTCGACTCTTACTGCGGGCCAATAATAAAATACAGAAATTCTAATAGGCATGGAGTACATGGATAATAGTAATAATAATGATAACACTATAACTAACAATAGATAAATGGTTCCTTAGCTAATAATCAATTAAAAACTCCCATTGATACAATACTAACTTCAAAAAAATCGGGCCACTAAATAAATCATAACCGCTTAAGTCATAAATATGATATCAAATGTATTTGGGCTCTAAACATTATCACGCACGATTTATGCCGAGGTCGTACGCCCCAATCCAGAATAATGTGCACACTGCCGAGGGTTGAGTGACATGAACCATAGATGCATCTATTATATTGTCGAGGCGTTCGACCCGCTCTACAAGATGAGAATATTCTACGAACAACCAATTTATAAGTTATCACGAAGTTTATACACAAGAAAGCACAATTTCCATCAATGGTCAAGCAACCCGCCAAAACTCAAGTTAAGTGAAGTTCGGTCTTTACGAATCATTTATCAAGTTTCAATATAGTTTAGGGACTTAAATTAACAATAAGAGTACAAACAACTCAAGTATTTCATGATTTGGGCCCTAAACTACCCGGACATAGCATGATTAGTAGCTACGCACGGATCCTCATCACCTAGTACGTACGTACCCGCCAAAAATAAAATCAAACAGTTAGGCAAGAGACTTACCTCGTCTCCAAGCTCACTTTTCAGCCCACAAATTAGTTCGGAAGCCTCAACTCGGTGCCGAACAATACAAAACTAGTAAAATATTATATAAATTAATCAATACATGTTCAAAATTCCATAATTTAATTATTGGAGTGATTACCCAACCCAATTTGGAAGATTCCTAAAATTCACCCCCGGGGCCCAGGTGCCGGATGTTACACCCCATGTTTTTGTATGGGAGAGTACATCGTAAGTCAATTGATTTAAGCTCAGAAAAAAGATCATCTTTGAAAGTACATAATTTAAGTTAATCATGTTACCTTGGAAGTTACAAATATTTACGATCATGAATACCATGTACAAAGAGGCTTGAAAAGCTTAGAATCTAAATCATCACAAGTTACATTCATAAATGTTCTGAATATTAGGTCAAATGTAGTGGAGCTTTCCTGCCAATATACTTGGAATTACGGAATATCCACATATCAAATTGAAGATCAACGAGTCTAGTTTCTAATGCATTGAACTGTTAGTCGATGCGATATCGGAGTAAAGATATATTTGTAGTTTTGCTAGACTGCACAGATTGCATAGGTGACAAGTAGGTGTGTCACTGAAGCTTTTTGAGCAATACATTTCGTGTGTTATATGAGGTCTTTTTGGGACATATTATATACTAAGTTGAAGGTCTTGGAATGTAGTTTCAGACGCTCTTAATCGTTCATTCATACGATATCCGTATAAAAAGATATAAGTGTCGGAAGATGGGCCAATACTAGGGTGCCAAGCTAGCACCCCTTTGACTTTTCTAAAGTTGATATATGTAGGTTTTAAATCGTATTTCTCTTCATTTTTCATAGAAAACGACCATAGAACTCCCATAAACTTACCCTTAAGCTCTATACAAGGGTTTCCAAGAAGATTAACATCCTGGGTATGAAATCAAGAAGTGATAACATTAGGACGATCCCTACGACGTAAGCATCGCTATACCACCTCTCTTTTTCTTTGTAGTTTGAGTTTTGGAAGGTACTTCATAGTTAAGAAAAATCCTAATTTCTGTATTTAAGCTTTTAAATATCAAGGAAGGTTGATAAATTTGTTTCCTAATAGTTAGAAATTACAGGACGGTGATCGGAAGCCGCGAGTTCAATTTATTTCACTTTTAGTGTGCTGTTTTGTAGTCTACTCACGTTGGCCTATTGTGCTACAGATTTATGTAGTTTGGAAGGAAAAAGGGCGTGGAGAAACTCCACATATGGTAGGGCAGTGGGCTGGTCGCTCGTCGTTGTATTTGCAAGCTAATTGATAACTTGTTGATTGGGTGTGTTATGGTATGTTTGGTTTTTTATTTTTTTGTATTAAAGGTCCCAAATTGTAGTTAGGTTGTTTTTGAGTTTCTAGCTGTATATTGTTGTTTTCTTGTCTATAGTAGGTTTGAGGGAGCAGTAAAATCAGGGAAAATGCTGCCCGGTTTCTTTTAGAATTGAGTTATATTTTAAGATATGTGATATACTAGCGCATTCTAAGTTGAACATGTATTTCTTTGTTATAGGGTTGGCGCGCTAGTTGTCATAAGCTTGTTGTTGAGTTGCATTGACGACTTGAGGTATATTAAGGCTATCCGTTCTTTCTTTTTGGCATGATCCATATGATGCAAATAAAACTAGCGAACGCGGAAGTTCCACAAATGACTCTATTCTTAGAAGTACTAGGGGTGCCTATGTTCTTTATTCCTCATGTGTCCTATTATTATATCATCTGTTCATGGGTCTCAGAAAATACGTAAGTTGATAAAGTTTATTTCTTGATATTAACCGAAGTCATATTGATCTTATGACATCCCGAGAGATCTTATTGACTTACTTCTTATGCATTGCGTTCATTTATACATGTACATTAACTCATGACTAGATGGCATTATATACGCGTATATTATATGTATATGGGATATGGGGAAAGGTTATGGCGCTATATACGCACCACCACCTGATCAGCTGGTATAAATTGATGATTTCGCCCACTAAGGCTGAGATGATATAATCGGATGCCCTCAGAGACTTGATGATGTTATGTACGCATATACCTATGCATGATATGACATTTATATGAATATGCATGACATTATTAATGTTTCATGATTCACAGAGCTATTCAGACTTACAAGTTGAGTCCTTTACTCCATGTTTCTTTCATGTCTTATATATACTGCTTTTAATGCCTTACATACTCGGTACTTTATTTGTATTAAAGTCCCTTTTGCCTGGGGACACTGTGTTTCATGCCTGCAGGTCCCGATATACATGTTGATAGTCCTCCAAGTAGGCTATCAACTCAGGGGAAGGTGTTGTTGCACTCCACTTGCTCTAGAGGTGTCAGTATGATTTGGACATGTATTGATTGGAATGACAGGTCCCTGTCCCGACCTATATGACGTTTATATGCTCTTAGAGGCTTGTATACAAATGTCATGTATATGGATACTTGTATGGCCTTGTCGGCCAACGTTTTGAGTGTACAAATGATCATGTCGGCCTTATAAGCCCGTATGTCACAAGTATA